ATGCTTTTGCAGAAAAGCATCCGTGCCAATCTAGATGCTCTTTTGCGGAAATACTTTTAACGGAAAAACTTTTCCGTTAAAAGTATTTCCGCAAAATCATGCCAGTCTAGATGCAGCCCCTGGATCTCCAGACTTTTAAAGCATGAGATCACTTTTTGAATTTAAATGCAATCCAGGCTCTACCTCAAACCCAAATACCCTGGCCCCACCTCCTTTGTACCCCTTCTCCAAGGTCCTGTCCCTGCTCACTCATAGAATCATAGAGCTGGAAGAGACCCCAAGTGAATGCTCTAGCCCCTGCTCCACTCCAGGACCCACCCCACCTCCCTACCTTCAGCAGGTCCTTTATCCTGCCTTCATAATGCAGGAGCCAGCTCCATCTTTGGGGTAGCCTGTGTTGGCTGTCCAGCTGCTCCCAGGGTGGGCGGAGGGGTGTAGCTCTATCAGGAGGCTCAGATACACTCAGGCTGTGTCTAGACTGGCCAGTTTTTCCGCAAAAATCAGCTGCGATTGCGGAAAAACTTGCCAGCTGTCTATACTGGGCGCTTGAATTTCCGCAAGAACGCTGATGATCTCATGTAAGATTGTCAGTGTTCTTGCGGAAATACTATGCTGTTCCCGTTCGGGCAAAAGCCCTCTTGCGCAAATCATTTGCGCAAGAGGGCCAGTGTAGACAGCACAGTACTGTTTTGCGCAAAAAAGCCCCGATGGCTAAAATGGCGATCGGGGCTTTTTTGCGCAAAAGCGCATCTAGATTGGCACGGACGCTTTTCCGCAAAAAGCGCTTTTGCGGAAAAACATCCGTGCCAATCTAGATGCTCTTTTCCGAAAATGCTTTTAACGGAAAACTTTTCCATTAAAAGCATTTCCGGAAAATCATGCCAATCTAGACGTAGCCTCAGTGAACCCTCATTGGGTGCATAAGCATAAGAGATTTTATTGTCAAAGCATATTATGCCTTACAGCCTTCACACACTACTGAATATGTGTCTTACTGTGGAGAAGCAGGCAATTAAGCAAGCAAGCAGGCAAGCACAGATCCAATGCTTACGCCCCTTCTGCTACCGACAACCCCGGGCCCTCCCGTCTGTGCTCTCAAGGGCTGGTAGTGGGTGCTGCTCCAGCGTGGGGAATTCCTGGGCATCCACATGGCCTAGATCCACATGTGGGACTGTCCGTTCAAGCAATGCCTTTCGGCTATTTCATAAATATTCATAAATATTTCTTTCTGAGAGGTACAAATGTTCACAGGCAGATTCTAGCCAGAAATACTACTGCTGTCCAATTCCCACACATGTTCTTGAGCTTAGTTATCTCACAACTTGTTTATGCAGCTAAGGTGACCTTGAGCCAGCTCATCACTGGTTAGAGCCAGCTAACCACTGTCTCCAGCTGAGCCACCTGCAAGAAACATCAGGTGTAACTGACAGTCACCCCTGACAAGGGGGGAGCAGGGCTCAAGCACCCAATGCTGTGCTTGCCTGAGAAATGCTGTATCTCCTAGTCCACTCAAGAACTCACGCCTCCTTTCCACCATCAGAGGATCCCTTATCCTGTGTTGGCTGTCTGGTCACTCCTACCATGGGCAGGAAGGGACTTGAGCTGCCTGGCGGGGGGGGGGCAGGATTCAATCCCACCATCCTGCATTCCCCAGGGAAATGCCTCATCTTCTAGGACACTCCAGATCCCACTCCACCTCCCTATATTCAGGGCGTCCCCTCCCACACTCCGAACCCCTTAGCCCAAGACCAGAGCATGCACCCTAACCCTCTACAGCAGCCTCGTGAAAGTGAATGAGATTTGGGGAGGAAGGGGGATGGAGTGAGCAGGGTGAGGTCTCGGAGAAGGGGTGGAGCAGGGGCGGGACCTCAGAAGTGGGGGAAGGAAGCCAGGCAAGCGTATTTAGGTTTGAGGTAGATCTTACATTGCACTTAAATTGAAAAAGTGATCTTGTGGTTAAAAACGTTGGAGACCCCTGGCCTAGACTTATAGAATGCACAGTGGCTTAACTCTGGCTAACTGCTGGTAATATCTGTTGTTTGGTAATAGACCTGCAACGTATTGGTACATTGTCAATGCGTGCCAAATGCACAGTGGCTTAGCGGTTGAGAATTTCTGCTAACTGCTGTTAGTGCATCACATTTGACAATAAACCTGCTCGATTGATTTTGTCCTTGCCTGAATCTGTCGTTTCTGTGGTCTCTCAGAGATCTCCTCTGTTGACCCAAGTGCACGGGGTCTAACACTCTGGATAAAGGGAGCACATGTATGCATGCAGCCAAAAGTTTATCATCACCGATGGAGTAGAGGTCCTGTCAGGAGCGTGCTGGGACAACCCCGAAAACCCTAACTGATGACACTGAACACTGGCAGAACGACACTGACAGTATGACAGCAGCTGATGCCTTCATGGAGTGCCAAGGCCTCACCCAGCTGTCGGCCCCAGGAGAGGCACACGCTGACTTCCCCTGCACTGTGGTGGGGGGGGTGTCATTCCCGGGAGACGCATGCATGGAAGTTCCCTGTGCCGCAAGGGGGGGTGTTGGCCCCGGGAAAGGCTTCCCTCTGGGGGACAGGGGAAATCCTGGGAGGAGGTGGGTGCAGACGCTTTCCCCCCACTGACACCCTGTTCAGTCTCTCCTGTCCCCGGCCACAGAACTCCATCCCCAGCCCCCATGTCCCCAGCCATGTGGTAATAATGGCAGTTAAAGCAGGTTAAAGCAATGGACTATTTTGGATTTGTAATAATAAAAATTATAATTAACATTTGTAATGCATTTTTATTTGAAATTGTGCTGAAATATCGTTTGTCGTGTACAAATCTATTCTGAAAATGTCATGTCTCTATTTTAATCTGATCTCAGACATTGGTTGGATGGACAAACTGAATAATTATGCCTGTTTAAATAAATAAATAAATATACTTAAAAAACATTAAGTGGAAAATAGGGGCAAAATGTTTACCAAAAACCTCAGCCTATATCTGTCCTTGGGGTTGGGGCAGGGGGGCGTCGATTGCATGGTTTGCCTAGGGTGCCAGTTGCTGGAAGCTAGTCTAGAGCTGCCCCTGGCTGGTGTCACGACAGCTTGGTGTGTGCGGGGCAGGAGCTGGAGCAGTGGGGGCTGCTCAGGAGCCAAACTAACCACGCAGGTGCGGAGGGATCACAGGGGGCAGAGGGGATGTAAGTGATGGGGGGGAGGAAGGGGAGAAGGGATTTGCAGTGTTTGCAAAACCAGCCAGTAGAGCAGATGTGGGGTGTTTCCCATTTCCAGGTTAGGCATCTGAGGGCCACTTCCCAGGACTGTGATCTGAATGGCACAATGTCCCCCGGGCCCAGGGACTGGCCAAGGCAGCTTTTCCTTGCCGGGTAAGGTGGATTCGCCTGCTAAAGGGGCTGGATGCAGTGAAATGTTGTAGATACAGCTCCTTCTAACACTGCCATGGTCAGACCTGGTTTTAGGGTCCAAAGAATCCCTGATCCACTTCTGTGTCTGCAAAAGTTTCAAAGGCGTTTGCAAATGTGTCCTACCTGCTGTTCTCATTGCCTGAAATGCTTGGCCTTGCTCTTCAATGGTGTTTTGCTCCTTTAAGCCATTTAGTTTTTAAACTATTATTTGTATTCCTTTGAGCATCACAACATTGACCTACAGTAGCAGTGTGCACAGAGCCGTTGTTAGGAATCCTTGTGTGTATTGTTAATACCAAGAAATCATTGGAAACACTCTGCAGTTGGCAGTTTCAGCAGTCCCCTGGCCCAGTGTTTCTAGCACTTCCTGTATGTACTGCAGCTTCAGATTTTTGTTCCATGGTTCCCTGTGATGTCCATTTCCTGGGTTGGTGTCAAAATTACTACAGTTTCGGTTCATCCTCCAATGGGGGCGGCTTTTGTCAGCTATTTTGATTCTCTGCCCAGCACCTTAGGGCTTTGTCACAAGTCTGCACTTGGGTACATCTTGGATCCCAAATACTAATTGAGATACTTTAGAAAAACATTTTAATTGAAAACTTATTAAAAACCCTTCTTTCTATAAGTAATTCCCCATCCTGCTAACAGTGAAGTACACACCTTACTCTTCTGTTATGTTGTGTAGTGCATATACAAAGGTTGGGTTTTCCATTTATTTGTTTATACTTCTAATTAAACATTTTTAACGTCATAGATTTTTATATAGGCTACATATACGGCTACGATACATTTCACTGGTGTTCTTCCTTCTGACAATCCTACTGTTCTGTGTTGCCAAAATCCAGGATTTTAAAAATAAATAACCCTTCCCTGCATTGGTTGGGTCTTTGGTATAGTGCTGACCTGGCTAGGTATAGCTCCTCCCACCCATGTTTCTACAGGAGAATAGCAGAATAGCTAGTACTTGCTACCAAGAGACATTTGATTAGCACTGAGGACACACATTATAATGCTCAGTCAGATGTGAAGTTAAACATTATTCTTAATCTTCAGAGGGGTAGCCGAGTTAATCTATAACTAGAAAAATTTAAAAAACAACGAATAGTCTAGTAGCACCTTAAAGACTAACAAAACATGTAGATGGCGTCATGAGCTTTTGTTGGCACAACCCACTTCTTCAGATGACTGGAATATTGAAAGTCCAGATCCAAGAATAAATAAAGGAAGGTGGGGGAGAAAAAGGGGGGAGGAAGGAGAAAAAAGACAGTGAATAGATTGTTCAAGATACAAGAGGCAGATAAGAATAATTAGCACCTTCGTTGGTTGGTTGGTTAAGTCATTAGGGTGTGGAAGGTATTGTGGGAGCCAGCCAATATACATTGTTATTCATTCTAATAACAATTGAACTTGTGCCACAGAAGAGGTCAGGCTGCATGACTAAAGATATCTTCTGATCCCATGAATCCGTGAATTGTAAGATCTTCTGCAAACACTCAGCACACGTGTTTAATAATAAATATCTGAATAGTTTTATTGACTTTACTTAATCTCTGTTGTAGAGAGGGTGTATAAAGTTTGTCAATTTAGTCCTGCTGAGAGGGCATAGGTCTGTGCTACAAAATAAATGGAGGAGGAGTAGGGGCTATAACTACAGGAGCCTAAATTTAACACATTATATCCATATTTGGGCAGCAAAATAAGTGGTTTGTTATTCAGAAACACTGGACACGCCGATGCAGATGCAGTAATGTTGAAACTCAAGCCATGTATTGAAAGAAATGAATGTGGATTTGGGATTTAACTTGTGTGTGGTGTTTATGGATTATCTAGACTAAGCATTTGCCCAAAGTGGCAGAGACTAGCATGTGTGTGAAGAGGAACAGAATCTGGGAAAATGGGGGTGTGGAAAGGATTAAAGCCCCTTCTGAAATGTCTCTCATTGCTCTTCTCCCCCCGACAAGCTGCAGAACACCCATATCTTGCTCCAGCTCGGCCCATCGCCTACAGAGCCAAGGAAAGAAAATGGCTGTGGTGGAGTCGGTGACCTTCGAGGAGGTGGCTGTGTATTTCTCTGAAGAGGAATGGGCTCTACTGGACCCGGGTCAGAGAGCCCTCTATTGGGCTGTGATGCAGGAGAATTATGAGGCTGTGAGCTGGCTGGGTAAGTATTCCTGTCCCCTCGGGTATCAGAATCTGGGTGGGCTCTGGGGCAGCTGGATTGGGTTTGGTTCAGGGTCCTGCCTTACCCTCTAACCCAGGGGTCTCCAAACTTTTCAGCCCGAGGGCCGCATTAACTATCAAACAGCAGTTTGGGGGCCGACTACACACTTGAGGTCCAAATAAAAAACAATCAAAACATGGATGTTGTTTTTAATTATTTATTTAATATTATTTTATTCAGTTATTATTTAATAACACATTGATACACTACACATGAACACCTGTATTAGTGTGAATGGTGAAATTGTTTCCTGGATGCCAAAATAGCAGACATTTCTGGCTTTAGATTTGTTGTCCCTAACATCAACAGTGACCTGAGATTATCATCGGACAAGTTTGTTCTCAAATTGTTCTTCACGTATTTCATTCTTGAAAATGTTTGTTCACACAGGTATGTTGAACTACTGCGTGCCTCTATTTTAATTCGGTAAAAACATAACGTCCACGTAAGCGGCGGCTGATCTTGGCAGGATACACGTAAATTTCCGTAATTTTTTTTCCGTAGACAAAAAGGTCTCCACGGGCCGGATGAGAGGGCCTCGCGGGCCACATCCGGCCCGCGGGCCGTAGTTTGGAGACCCCTGCTCTAACCCGAAATGTCAGAAGTATGAGCCCCAGTAATTCTAGCTCTCATGTGAGAGACTGTCCCCTCCAAACCCTTTCCCAAGGGAAGCAGGTTCAAGGACATAACAATGGTGCTGCTCTTCCCACAGCCAAGGTCTTCCTCACCATCTTGCCCATATTCTGCCTTGGCAGGAATGGTAGGTACCAAAGTTCTGGGGCTGGGTCCAGCTGCTGTTAGTGCCTGCACGGTCTCCTGGAGTCCTGATCTGTGACCTGCTGGTTCCTGCCAGTGAGAGGGCTTGGGTGCTGGGGCTGAGGGAGGGTGGATTAGACAGGTCATGCTTTGTGAGCTTTCTGTGGCAGATAGTTCTGTAATAAATAAATGTGAGGAGAGCTCTTACTGCATTTCAGTCACTGCACCTGGAAGATATGTCCAAACAATCAGTAGATTCATCCATTGCCGAACTGAAATACTCAGTGTTTTCAACTTCTTTTAGCAATTTAGAAAACAGATCGCCTGAGATGCTTTCAATTCATCTTACTAAAGTTGAATCAAACACTTGCAGTTTTGATATTTAGCTATATCCTCTTTGTTTTTAAATTCTCCAAAAAGTGATTTGCTGCAGTCCAAGAAGTTTAAAACTAATAAAAGAAAGTTCTTCTTCACACAGCGTGTAGTCAACCTGTGGAACTCCTTGCTAGAAGAGCCTGTGAAGGCTAGGACTATAACAAAGTTTAAAGAGAAGCTAGATAATTTCATGAAGGTTAGGTCTATAAAAGGCTATTAGCCAGGGGATAGAAATGGTGTCCCTGGCCTCTGTTTGTCAGAGGCTGGAGATGGATGGCATGAGACAAATTGCTTGATTACCGTCTTTGGTCCACCCCCTCTGGGGCACCCAGTGCTGGCCACTGTCAGCAGACAGGCTACTGGGCTAGATGGACCTTTGGTCTGACCCAGTACGGCCTTTCTTATGTTCTTATGTAAGCACTGCTTCATCAATTCACCTTCGGTAAAAGGTCTTTTTGACTTATCTGTGTGCTAAGCCATTCTGAAAGAGGTTTCTATAATGACATTGCCGTCTTTAACTAGTGGAGGGAACATATCTTGTTGAGTATGGTAACCTTCCAGTAAGAAATGTATCTTAGTTTTTCTTAAATTGCTGTCAGGTGGCTACAAGTCATTGAACTCAGGGTGACAAGACTCTTGGTGCCTTTGTAGGTTTGTTTTCTTTATCACAGTGATAAGTCTTTTGACAAGACACATTGGTTTTCCACTTATATCTGCAACAGCGAATTCCATCTACCAAACAGGGACAAGGGGGATTCAGTGGATATAATATACTTAGATTTCCAGAAAGCCTTTGACAGGGTCCCTCACCAAGGGCCCTTAAGTAAAATGAGCTATGAGATAAGCGGGAAGGTCCTTTCATGGATTGATAACTACAGGCAGTCCCCGGGTTACGTACAAGATAGGGACTGTAGGTTTGTTCTTAAGTTGAATCTGTATGTAAGTCGGAACTGGTGTCCAGATTCAGCCGCTGCTGAAACTGATCAGCGGCTGATTCCAGGAAGTCCGGGGCAGGGGCTTCCTGTAGTCAGCCACTGGTCAGTTTCAGCAGCGGCTGACTTGGGGACGCCTGGGGCAGAGCAGCTGGGGTGCTGCTGGGTTGGTCCAGTAGTGCCCAGAGCGGCGCTATGGGACCAACTGGCAGCGCCCCAGCTGCTGTACCACAGGTGTCTGGAGCAAAGCCATGGAGCACGGGGGCAGCGGGACAGCCCAGACGCGCCGTGGCTGTCTGCTGCCCGCGTGCTCCGCAGCTTTGCTCTGCTTTGCCCCCCCCCTCCCCCTGGTCTGCAGACCGGGGGGCAAAGCAGAGCCAAGCCGCGGAGCGCGCGATCAGCTGACAGCCCAGATGCGTCTGGGCTGTCAGCTGACCGCGCGCTCTGCAGCTTGGCTCTGCTTTGCCCTGTCCCCCATCCCCCTGGTCTGCAGACCGGGGGGCAAAGCAGAGCCAAGCCGCGGAGCGCGCGATCAGCTGACAGCCCAGATGCGTCTGGGCTGTCAGCTGACCGCGCGCTCTGCAGCTTGGCTCTGCTTTGCCCTGTCCCCCATCCCCCTGGTCTGCAGACCGGGGGGCAAAGCAGAGCCAAGCCGCGGAGCGCGCGATCAGCTGACAGCCCAGATGCGTCTGGGCTGTCAGCTGACCGCGCGCTCTGCAGCTTGGCTCTGCTTTGCCCTGTCCCCCATCCCCCTGGTCTGCAGACCGGGGGGCAAAGCAGAGCCAAGCCGCGGAGCGCGCTGCCAGCTGCCAGCCCAGACGCGTCTGGGCTGGCAGCTGGCAGCGCGCTCCGCGGCTTGGCTCTGCTTGGCTCTGCTTTGCCCTGTCCCCCATCCCCCTGGTCTGCAGACCAGAGGGACGGGGGGGCAAAGCAGAGCCAAGCCTCGGAGCGCGTGGGCAGCGGACAGCCCTGTCTGCTGCCCACGTGTTCTGCCGCTTTGCTTCCTCTCCAGTCGGATCCGCATAACTCGGGGACTGCCTGTAGTTGAAAGATAGGAAACAAAAGGTAAGAATAAATGGTCAGTTTTCAGATTGGAGAGAGGTAACTATTAGTGTCCCCCAAGGGTCCGTACTGGGCCCAATCCTATTTAACATATTCATAAACAATCTGGAAAAAGGGGTAAACAGTGAGGTGGCAAATTTTGCAGATGATACTAAACTGCTCGAGATACTTAAGACCAAAGCAGACTAAAGAATTTCAAAAGGATGTCACAAAACTAAGTGATCGTGCAAGAAATTGGCAAATTAATTTTAATGTTGATTAATGCAAAGTAATGCACATTGGAAAAATAATCCCAACTATACATACAAAATGATGGGGTCTAATTTAGCTATATCCACTCGAGAGAGATCTTGGAGTCATTGTGGATAGTTCTCTGAAAACATGCACTCAGTGTGCAGCAGCAGTCAGAAAAGCAAACAGAATGTTTGGAATCAATAAGAAAAGGATAGAGAAAAAGACAGAGAATATCTTCTTGCCTCTATATAAATCCATGTTATACCCACATCTTGAATAGTTTGTACAGATGCAGTCACCTCATCTCACGAAAGATAAATTGACATTGAAAAAGTTTCAGAAAAGAGCAACAAAAATTATTAGAGGTTTGAAATGGGTCCCATATGAAGAGAGATTTAAAAGACTGGGACTTTTCTGTTCAGAAAAGAGGAGACTAAGAAGGGAGAGGACAGCGGTCTATAAAAACATGACAGGTATGGAGAAAGTGAGTAAGAAAAAGTTACTTACTGGTTCCCATAACATACAGGTCACTAAATTAAATGAATAGGCAGTAGGTTTTTTAAAAAGGTTTTTTTTTAAAGGAAGTTTTTCTTTACACAGTGCATAGTCAGCCCCCTTGCCAGAGGGTCTTGTGTAAACCAGGACTGTATAACAGGGTACAGAGAAGAACTAGATAAATCCATGGAGGTTAGGTCCATCAATACTTATTAGCCAGGATGGGTAGGAACAATGTCCTTAGCTTCTGTTTGTCAGAGGTTGGAAATGAATGACAGGAGAGGGATCACTTGATGATTACCTGGTCTGTTCATTCCCTCTGGGGCACCTGGCATTGACCACTGTCGGAAGACAGGATACGGGGCTAGCTGGATCTTTGGTCTGACACTGAACAGGATGGTTTGGAATAACGTACCTCAAGATGCAATCGTACTAACTCAAGTCCCAGAACACACCCTCTGCCATGCCCTTGTCATGCAGTGACATGTGAGCCTTCATTACCAGAATGTGGAGGAGTCCTCAAGACTTGTGGGGCTATACATTGTGACAGAGCAGGGGTGATACAGCAGGTGAAAGAGCTTGATAGAAGGGGAAAGAGGCAGAGAGAGTCAGCAATCCTGGCTAATTAGGAGCACCTGAGAAAATCAATTAAGACCCCCTGTGAAATTAATTGGGGCTGCCTAGAGGCCTCTCCCTGTGAGTGAGGAAGGGGAGAGCTGAGAAGGAGTGTGGAGAGCTGTGAGAGTGTGGAGAGAATTGAGAAGGGGTTTGGATAGCTGTGAAGGAGTTTGGAGAGTGGAGGAGGAGTTTGGAGAGAGAAAGACATTGGAGGAGCCAAGAGAACAGCATCAACCTTGTTAAAGACTACAGGGAGACAACAAATTTCAAACCAAGGTGAGTGAGCCATATACTGTGACTCCTAGACTGTGGGACAGTGGGCTGAACAGGGGTCAGGAGCCCAGGAGTAGGACTGACCCTGCCAGAACTTGAGCAGTGAGTAAGCACAAACAGGAAGGCAAAAGTTCAGCAAGAGTCTCAACAAGGGCTTATGGAGTAGACAGAATAGGGGCTGTAACCCTGGCACACTCCAGATACAAACAGGCCTGGGTCCTGGGTCTCCCTCTGGTCCAGAACAAACAAGTGCCAGGGAAGGCTGAAAATGGAGTCAGCAACATGCCCGTGCTCCATGACAGAGCCCAGCCAACTGCAGTTCCTGCTGGGGTGGGGAATGGAGGTAGAACACAGAGCGCCTCATCTTGAAATGGGGCAGCATGTCCAGCCAGTGTGTGTCTGGGCAGGACATGAGTCCAATGGGATGACTAGGGGCAATGTGAGTGTGCAGAGCTTTTCTGGGGATGGGATGGAGATTCTCTATGAGTCAGCTGAAATGGGAGGTTCAGAGCGATGGGTAGGAGCTGATGTGGCAGGGGCCTGACATCAAGCTCTGTGATACGGGCAGGTGGGGAACACCTTGCCTGAGAATAGCCAGAGAGGCAGGGGACTGGACAGCCTTTACTTCCTAGAACACACTGTAGAGGACATGTCGTGTCAGCAACGCTATTTACTGGGCAAGCAAACTGAGGTCCAGCCAGTCCTGCCAACAATTGTCCAGAAGGTCACTGACTTTGGAGACACCAGCCAAGACAAGCCTTTGCGGAAACCAAGGAACCTCTACCCCCTGTGCCACATGTTGGGGGTCGTGCAAGAGTGTCTAGGCAGGAGTTCTCCACCCTCACAACATGGGGATGATCTGGTTGCAGAGACCAGCTTTCAGGAGCTGAGGAGATCGCTGTAGCTCTCAGGCTAGGTCTACACTACAGACTTTTTGTGCAAAAACTCACAGAGCGTCTACAGCTCAAGCGTGATTTTGCACAAGTAAAACAAAAGAAAAGAGGGGTTGTTCCAGTGTAGGTATTCCTCCTTCTATGAGGAATAACTCCTTTTTGCACAAGAGCTCTTGTACAGAAAGGTGTGTGGGGACAGGCAAGAGGGGTTTTTTCCGCACGAAGAGGGAAGAGGAAAAAGCACAGGTGCCCTGGTGGCCATTCTGTCCATAGCAATCACTGCTTACTTGTGAGAGAGCATCCAGGCAGTCTGGATGCTCTCTTGTGCAAACGCGCATCGCTTTTTTTGATGCACTTTTGCAGTATGGATGCTGTCTTGTGCAATCATTTTTTTCCAGAAGATCTCTTTCGAAAAATGGTTCTTGAGCAAGAAGCTTGCAGCCTAGACATAGCCTCAGAGATTTCAGAGGATACATCTCAGAGGGAGGACAGCAAGCTGCTGGTCATATCAGAAAACTGGCAGGCAGTGGAAACAGATGTAAGACCATGACAATATGAAAGTGGCCCTGGGGGATTCCTTTACTTGCCCCGCTCCATTCTGCCACTGCCCATTTATTCCTCATCAGTGGAATGGTGAGCTCTCCCCGGGCTCTAGACAAATGACTTCCAGGAGGGGAGCAGCTCACAGTACCGGGGGCGCGTTTACACGGTGCTTCACAGCGCTGTGACTGGCTGCGCCCATAGAGTCTGTGCTGAGCAGCGACGCTGAGCACCAATTCCTCAGGCCCTGGATGTCCCATTTCTCCAGCAGCAGGGAGCACACGGCCCCTCTGTGACAAGAGGAGTCACATGCTGCTCAGGGGCTCTGCCCAGCTCATGGCAAGGCCTGGGGCAAGGACATCCTAGAATGTGCGGTAGAGCTGCATGATCAGCGGTCGGTGCCTTCAGATTGGCTAGTGGGCATCACACAGAGCCCTTCTGAGAGGCTGGCCAGAGTGAGAGGAAGCTTTAGCTGCTCTTGGGTACCGATGGTGACCACCAGGCCTGTGTCCCAGAAGGCCACTCAGATTGGACAATCTGGAGAGAAATGGCTGTTGTAAAAATTTTTCACCCTTTGTCTCATCTGCTCTAGAGCCATAAGAGCAGCACTGTCCTTTGCTAGGAGACAGATGACTTGTTTTCTCTTCCTCTTCTCCAAAGCTCACAAGAAGCAGGAGCCACAACACATCCCCTGGTTCCATCCATCACTCAACAAAAGCAATATGGGTTTGTCCAGGACCCCAAGTTCTTCCCATTTCTCCCAGGACTTATGGCAGAGGTAGACAGTGTCAGGATGGGGAGCCACGTCTCTTTCAATCCCCATGACTTCATTAATTAAGCAGGGATTATTTAAATCCCCGCTTCATTGACTATGTTGGGTAAACTACATTACATGGCTCCGTCGACGGAGCCATGTAGTGCTAGACACACCCCCAGTGCCCAGTCTTTGTAAGGTGGGGAAGGTCTCTCTGAATGGGCAACTTCAGATCTGGAAGCAGTAATGGCCCAGATCTTAACGAACAAGATCAGCACTTGGTTAATTGCTCCCTATGCAGGATTTCCAGCTTCCAAAGCTCATGTGATCTCCTGGGTGGAGCGAAGGGAGGAGCTGCGAATCCCAGATCTCCAGGGCTGTGACGAAAAGGAGATCATCAGCAATAACCACGTAGGTGAGCAATCCATTAAACTGACTCAGAAACCAATTTCTTTGTCCTCATAGCATGCCTCACTTAAGCATTTTCATCAAGTCTAAATGACCCTTCAGTCTATCTTTAACTCCAGTCAGAGGGTGGGGGAAAGGTTGAGTTCTCCCTTTTGGGAAAGGGTTATGGGGAAGGAAAATGAACTCAGCTCATGGTTAATCAACCTTTCCAGCCATTATTGGTGTGTTTTTCTTCTTTTCTATTTCCCTTTGAGAGTTTTCCTTTCAGCTCAGCACAAAAAATGACTCCTGGATTCTGTGTCCCCCCCAGCAGGTGATGGAATGGTAAGTGAGAACAATGAGAGTCTTCAACAGGAAGGACCAGAGCAAGTGGCTCCACATGAAATGTTTTTGGGAAGATCTGAAGGACATGTTTCTCAGGATCCTGGACACAAAGAGACCTGTGAGAGTCAGCATAACACAGAAAGACATCAGGGAAACCATGTGGTGAAGGGACAGGAAAAATCCAGCCACTGGAGGAGAGGGGTTAAAAGAAACACAGAAATCATTCAACAGAAAATCCCCCATCAAGAAGCACCCTCTGCTGGCAGTGACTGTGCAACTGTTATTGAACATCAGAGAATCCACACAGAAGAGACCTCCTTTGACTGCTCTGACTGTGGGAAAAGCTTCCGTGAGCACTCAAGTCTTATTAGACATCAGAGAATGCACACAAGAGAAGAACGTTTCAACTGTTGTGACTGCAAGAAAAGCTTCAGTAAGAAGTCAGTCTTCGTTAGACATAGGAGAATCCACACAGGAGATAAACCTTTTGGCTGCTCTGACTGTGGGAAGAGCTTCTGTGATAGGTCAGATCTTGTTAAACATAGCAGAATTCACACAGGAGAGAAGCCCTTCAGCTGTTCTGACTGTGGGAAATGCTTCCGTGCGAGGTCAAACTTTGTTAGACATAGGAGAATCCACAAAGGTGAGAAACCCTTCAGCTGCTGTGACTGTGGAAAGAACTTCAGTAGGAGCTCACATCTTGTTAGACATCAAATAATCCACATAGGGGAGAGAAGTTTTGACTGCTCTGGCTGTGGGAAAAGTTTCAGTGGGAGGTCAGATATTGTTAGACGTAGGAGAATCCGCACAGTGGAGAAACCCTTCAACTGCTCTGACTCTGGGAAATGCTTCAGTCAGAGCTCAGGTCTAAGTAAACATCATAGAACCCATCCAAGAGAGAAATCCTTTGACTGCTCTGACTGTGGGAGGCGCTTCAGTGAGAGGTCAGACTTCATTAGACATAGCAGAATCCACACAGGAGAGAAGCCCTTTAGCTGTTCTGACTGTGGGAAAAGCTTCATTCAGAGGTCAGACCTTGTTAGACATAGCAGAATCCACACAGGGGAGAAACACAACTGCTCTGACTCTGGGAAGTGCTTCAGCCAGAGCCCAGACCTAAATGAGCATCATAGAATCCACACAGGAGAGAAATCCTTTGACTGCTCTGACTGTGAGAAAAGTTTCATTCAGAGTTCAGACCTTGTTAGACATAGCAGAATCCACACAGGGAAGAAATCCGTCAACTGTTCTGACTCCGGGAAGTACTTCAGCCAGAGCCCAGACCTAATTAAGCACCATAGAATCCACATAGAAGATAAATCCTTCAGCTGCTCTGACTGTGGGAAAAACTTCATTTGGCACTCACATCTTGTTAGACATAGCAGAATCCACACAGGCAAAAAACCCTTTGGCTGTTCTGACTGTGGGAAAAGCTTCAGTAGAAACTCACATCTTGTTAGACATCAGAGAACTCACACAAGAGAGAAACATTTCAACTGTCCTGACTGCGGGAAAAGTTTCAATGAGATCATAGAATCAAAGAACACTAGAACTGGAAGGGACTCGAGAGATCAACAAGTCATCCCCTGCCCTAACAGCAAGCCAAGTGCCATAGATCTCAGACCTTGTTAGACTTAGGAGAATCCACACAGGAGAGAAACTCTTCAACAGTTCTGACTATGGTAAAAACTTCAGTAGGAGCTCACATCTTCTTAGACACTGGAGAATCCACACGAAGACAGAACCCTTTGCTCTGACTGTGTTGAAAGCTTGAGTTGGTGCTCAAATCTTAAGAGTTATCATACAATCCCACAGGAGAATCATAATAAAATCATAGAACACTAGAACTAGAAGGGTCCTCAAGAGATCATCATGTTTAGTCCACTGTCCCCATGGCAGATCCAGGCACTTCTAGATCAGTGATTCCCAATCTCTTCACTAGTGCAGACCCACAATCATCCCCCCAGCTGTTCGCGGACCCCCATCAAAACCAGTTCTAGCCAATATGTACACTTCATTAAATGAAAAAGGAAATGTAAATTAACATTTAAAATGATGCATACTCATTTCCGACGTCACAACAATTCCATCACACATCTCATCACAGCAAATTGCCACAATGATTGGTCTTACATAGTGTGACAGTGCGTTGGAGTTCCCCCGACTCCTGCACTCCCGTAATGGCATAAACAGACTCCACCAGCCAGTAAAATAGAGGGAGTTTATTGCTTCTCTAGGATACAGCACAGATGTAATCTGGTTACAGGGCAGGCTTAGGATGCCTCAGCCCCCCCTTGAGATGGGAGAGACTGGGCCCCTAAATCCCAGCCCCTTGCTTAGGCTGTTTCCTCCATGATAGCAGACAAACTCCTACTCTCTTCCAGCCCAGCCCCCCAGCCAGGTCTCTGCCTTCCTCCCTTTGTCTCTCTCCCTGGGAGGCTGAGCCTCGGTGTCTGGGGTAATACACATTTGGGAGATCAGTGAGAATCTCACATCACAGCGCAGGGGGACCCCAGGTCTCAGACAGCACCCCCACTATGCCACACATAGCAACAAATAATAAACTCTTGGCTTACCTAGTGAGATCCCTGGTGTTGTTTCATTGACTTCAAAGACTGGATGCCAGGTTGGATCGATGACGTAGGTCTGATTCAACACAAAGCCTACTCCAGTATTTGGTCTTTATTGCCATGAGAGCTGAGAGAGCTGCTTTGCGCATATATGTTGTGGCAAAGGGTATCAGAAATCGTGTGGCCCTCTCAGAAGGCTCTGGATTCTCAGGGGTTACATGAAGCTAGTACTCAGTAAGGAACTTTTATGAGAAGACCAGCTTTAAAGCATTGTCACAAGACATTTCGATTAGGCTGTCTTACTTTTTTGGTATTAAACTAGCAAGGGTGTCACTGTTAATGCATTCAAAGGGATTTCTAATCCAGTTGTTTTTTATCTCTGGAACTGGAAAATACTCTCGCAGCTTCATTTTCAGGCTTTGCAGATGCTCCCTGATGGTACATTTGACATCTCTGAGGAGCTGCATTTCCGATGTAAGCAAAAAGTCAGAAAGATTGCTAAATGAGTCATAGCTCGACTGATCGGTTCGACTGGACCACAGTTCTAATTTCTTTATCATTGCTTCAGTTTTGTCTTGAACGGTGAAAATTTGAGCAGTGAAAATGTGTCACTGCTTTTCCCTGCAGACTCAGGTTGAGACCATTAAGATGGGCAAAGCCATCAGCTGAGTGAGTCAATTTAGCTAACCAATTAAAATTATGAAAGCAATGGGCGAGCTCAAACTTTGTGTCCATCAGAAAAATTCTCCCTTCATTTTGCAGCTCAAAAATATGTCAGAAATTTCCCTCTGGAGAGTCAGCGGACCTCCATGTGCAGCAGCGGTTGACAGTAATCACTGCCCTCATCTCATAAAACTGCAAACAATCTTGAATTGAGAGGACAGGCCTTGATATAGTTAACAACTTTTACAGATTCATACAGTATGCTCCTTAAGTTAGCAGGGATTTTCTTAGTGGCAAAGGCCTCCCTGTGAATGCAACATGGAATGCTTGTTGTATATGGAGTGACATATGGTTAGAGATTAGACGAAGGTTTCTAACCATTAGAGGAGTGAGGTTCTGGAACGGCCTTCCAAGGGAAGTAGTGGGGGCAAAAGATCTATCTGCTTTCAAGATTAAACTAGATGGGTTTATGAAGGGGATGGTTTGATGAGATAACATGATCTTGGTAACTAATTGACCATTCATTATCAGAGGTAAATAGGTCAATGGAGGAATGATAGGGGTTACTATAGAGAACTTTCTGGGTGTCTGGCTGATGAGTCTTGCCCACATGCTCAGGGTTTAGCTGATCGCCATATTTGGGGTCGGGAAGGAATTTTCCTCCAGGGTAGATTGGCAGAGGCCCTGGAGGTTTTTCGCCTTCCTCTGTAGCATGGGGCACAGATCACAGCTGGAGGATTCTCTGCATCTTAGGGTCTTCAAAGTATTTGAAGGCTTCAATATCTAAGATATAGGTGAGAGGATTATTCTAGGAGGGGTGGGTGAGATTCTGTGGCCTGCACTGTGCAGGGGGTCAGAGTAGATGATCATAATGGTCCCTTCTGACCTTAAAAGTCAGAGACTGATTTAATACGACTGATAACGCCACAGTGTTGACCAGCCATGGCACGAGCCCCATTTGTTCTAACCCCAACACATTTTTTTCCAGTCGATATTATTCCCAACAATAAAACAGCTCAGCATATGAAAACTGGCCTCTGCATTTGTGCGTGTGGATAGTGGTTTGTAAAAAAGTAAGTCCTCATTTACCTCCTGTATGAGAGCCTGGACTACCCTGTCTTGGCAAGAAATGGTGATATCTGCCTTGTCCAAAGTGCAGCTTTCTGGCTTGTTTCAAGTCTGGTGCGCCAAAGCACACAGGCAAGGCCCGGGAATCAGGAATTGTTTTGCATAATAATGCAGATTAAGCCTGGTACATGAGATCATGTCAAGAAAACACAGGACAAGCGGCCTTGTACTGGTACTTCTGTTTCTAATAAGCAAAAAGTACAGATGCAGCCATGAAACTGTCAACTATGCACCTAGCAGGATGTACCCCAAGTAGGGGCATTGGGCTTTTTACATATCCTACACAATACGTAATCAATTGGGAAATATTATTAGAATGACCAAGTCTCACTTTGCTATAAATCGGGTTTAATAAGAATAATCGATGGGAGGGAATGGGCAGGATCGATGCACACGTCCTGCTCTATGTAACTAGAAGTAATTAGGCCCTTTATGCTGGTGGCCCAGTGCGTGGCATTCCAATGCGTGGGAAGAAACGGAACCACGACTTCCTGCTTGGCACTGTAGGTAGCATGTGGGTGAAGTGTAAGTGAATTAGGCTTTATTATTGTATATAGTAGATCTTTTAGTAATTGCTTTGGCATTGCTTTGCGCTGTATTAATTGCTTTAGTATTTATAATATTTAAGGTTTAAATCGTACAGTAATTGATCTTAAGGCTTGTAAAACTTAAACAACTGTATTAACTGCTTAAAGCCTGCAATAAATAAGAAAGTGGTTAAGTAGCCTTGGCATGTCCTGGTTTCCCTTGGATCTAAAATAAATAGAACGGCACACTACCTCCCCACTGTGTTCATATCTGACAAAGACAAGAAGTTGTGCCAGGTTTGTGATGTCAGTTGTTTCATCCATTTGTAGTGCATAGAAGTGACTCTGGGGTACTCTGTTAATTAACTGTTCCCTCACATTATCAGCCAGTTCCTCAATTCTGCGCTGAACTGTATTATTCAACAGTGGGATCACACTTATTTGTTTTTATGTCCTCTCCCCAAGCATAGTATTTACAGTCATCTTGGCTGCCGGTAATATTAGCTCCTCGCCAATTGTGCGTGGCTTTCCTGTCTTGTCTATTAGTTGGGCTACCCAGTAGGAGGCCTCTGTTGCCCTTGTATTGTCACTACCCAATACCATTGTCATCATAATATTTTTGCTTTCCTTGAACTCAGTAAGCTTTTGAAAAAAATCAAGAGGCTTGGACTCATTTTTGTCATGCTTCTGTGTTAGGTGATGGCAAAGTTTGGCTAGTTTTAGGCATTCATTTGCTAACACCTCATAACACAGGACGCACGTTGGTCACCGTTCATCCTCACTGCCAGACCAAGTAAATCCAAACTTTAAGAAGTCTGAAGAGTATTTTCTCACTTTTTGTTTACTTATATCTGTTTGATTAGATGTTCTACTTCTGGATGCTTCACTCTGCTCATCACTCTCCTTTCTCTTCAGCAAGCCTGATTTCAGCCACAGATCCATGTTGAATGTATGGCTAACATTTGTATGCCTCTAACCGTCACAATTATTTTGTCACACAAAGGTGCCACAACATAGATTTTCAGACAATTAATAATATTATTGGAAGATATTTAATTTAAAAATATCAATTGATTGTAACTTTTCAATTTATTTAAAACTTATTTTCTATGATCATTTGTATTTATATTTTTTTCCTCTCCCCCTCCCCGCAATTCCCTAGTGGACCCCCAGGGGTCTGTAGACCCCAGGCTGGGAACTACTGATCTAGATCATGTTTGGTAGATGTCTACCTAACCTACTCCTAAATATCTCCAGGGAATTTATTCCAGTATTTATCTATCCTGACAGTTAGGAATTTTTTCCCACTGTCCAAGCTAAACCTCCAATACTGTAATTTAAGTCTATTGATTCTTGTCCTATCATAAGAGGTCAAGGAGAACAATTTTTCTCCCTCCTTCTCCTCATGTTTTCCCTCTCAGTTTTCTGTTTTTTCAAACTAAACAACCCCAGTTCTTTCAGTTTTCCTTCATGTGTCATGATTTCTAGACCTTTAATATTTTTTGTTGCTCTTCTCTGGACCCTCTCCACATCTTTTTTGAGATGTTGTGCCCAGGACAGGAAACAATACTCCAGTTGAGGCCTAATCAGCTGGAGGAAAGATAGCTAATGGGAGTCTTCTCTCCCCAATGTAACCCTTCTATGACCTGCGGCTTGAGCCCCTCCATGTTTAGCCCACCACAGAAATCACACCCCCAGCTGGAGTCCTCCCCCCTCCACACCTCTAACCTCTGAGTCCTGAGGCCCTCTTCCCCATTCCCATGCCAGAGCCAGACTTTACACCCTTGATCTCCAACTCTTTCTCCCAGCCCTGAGCCTCCTTCACACAATCCAAGACCCTGAGCCCTACTCCTACCACATTAACTTTGTTCTGTGCACCAATGTGGAGATGATACATCACACATCCCCTGCATATTGGTGCCTCTAACAAAATTCATTCTGCACACTTTGGGGAAAAAATTAGAACACTGTGTATAACTGCTCTGACTGAAAAAAGCTTCAGTGAACACTCACACCCTATTGCACATCAGAAGTTCACACAACCCCTATAACTGCTCTGACTCTGGACAAAGGTTCAATGTAGCTGATATCTCCTTGAACATCTGTCAGGTAGATGTAGTTCAGGTAGAAAAGCTTTAGTCAGTGCTCACATGTTCTATCACAGTGTTTCTCAACCAGTGGTACGAGTACCCTTATGGATACTCGAGAGAAGTCTGGGAGGGTACGTCAATACAACTGAAATTTGGAGAAAAATGAATTTTTATTTTAAGTTTTACAGTGTTTTATTATTTTTGTACTTTTTAACACCCAAAAATTTCATTGCCCACCTGGCTATGATTAAATTGTTTAAACAAATGTATTGCAATAGTAGAAAAAAAATGTGCATGTCTGAAAACCGTAAGTACTGGGGGTACTTATCATTTTTTTAAAGGGGTAATTTATAAAATAAAAGATTGAGGAACACTGTTCTATCACATCGGAGAACCCAAATATGAGAGACTCTATTGTTGTTCAGACTGCATGCGCTAGAATTTGTGTTCAGAATTTGACCCAGTGAGTATCACTTGTGCAAACATGAGGCACCACATTTCTCCTTTAATGTTCTATGATGAGGCAGACTAACTCAGCAGTAATTTCTGGTATGCCCCTAACCTAGTGACAGAAATCCTTGCCACAGTTCAAACCCACTTTCTGATGCTCTACTTTTCCTGAGATGAGTGGGATCAATTTACCTACGTAAAGTTTTATTTTCAGTTTCTGCTTCCATCCAAATACCCATGGATCTATTGCCTCGGAATACACCGACTTACGAGTTGGCATTTGTTCATAAGAGCTGATGCTCACGTCGTGTGCCGATGGGGCAACAGTGTTTCCTTCCACCTACTTGAAGTGACTATAAAAAGAAACGGGACGTGGATTTGGGGTACGTCTTCAGCAACCTGGGCCAGATTCTGAGTAAGTGTAAACCATAGACCTGAGGGGAGGGCCACTTTTCACTGAAGGAGCTGGCCTCATGCCTCCTGCTATTCTATATGCCAGGGGTGGGGAACCTCAGCTCTGGGAGGTGGATGCAGCCCCTGGCTTGTCCAGATATGGCCCTCAAGGCTCAGGCCCCTTCTGTATTGGGGAGCCTGTGCTGGCACCCCAGTCACCCTGCTGCCCCACCATGGGGCTGGAGCACACAACATCTACTAGGCTCTGGTTTGGGGAGGGAAGGTATGGAGTGTCTGTCTCCTTCTCGGCCACCATGTCAGTGAGGGGTTGGTTGGTTGGTTTGTTTTTTGCTTCTCGTGTGGCCCCTGAGTGATATTTCTGTGGGTCAGTGGCCCCCAGCCCAGAAAAGGTTCCCACTCCTGCTATTGCCCATCAGACTCTCAACAGACACAGACTAACTGCGTCTCTTTAAACAGAATCCCGTAACTTTAGCATTGCTCCTTTCCTGCTGGATTGACTGACCATCCACCAGCATCTCATTCACTTCAAGCCATGGCGCCATTGAAGGCAAACTGCTCCAAGGGACTAGGGAGTAACAATGCGTTAGCCAAAGGAGAAGACACTTTCAGTGGAGAAAAAGTCTGATTTTTCTGAGCAGCTCCTCTGTTTGCAGTGGGACATTTAGGTGCTGAGCTTGGGGGAGAGGAGGGAAAGAAGCAGGCCGCAATGGTATTGATCTGAAGACCGGCTAATACACTAGGCATCACCCAAGGGCTGTCCTGTGGGAATGGCTGAGTCTTTAGCAATTTACAGGGATGATATTGAAACATCCTGA